CTCCCTAGCGGTATGATTATTTCAGATTTTTGGTGCTGAAAGCGGTACCATTATTTTGCATGGAAATATGTAGTTTTTTTTATTGTAGGCCTGTAATTTTTAGGAATAACTCACTGAAATCTGTCCGAACAAGAGTCTAGTAAACATCCCGGGTAGGATAAAATTTGAAACACAAAATCATAAATTATAATTTATTAAATAATCATAAAAAAATTATATAATAATAATAAATTTAATTCAATAATATAATCAAACCAAAAACACTGAAATTTGAAATATTGCGCCAAGTTCGCACATCACTGAGCAAAGTCGCAAAATTGTTTTCAGTGTCTGATGACGAATTTCCCCACAAATCATTATCACTCAATTCTGCAAGTGGTTCTGATTTACTATCGCTGTTCTCTAGCCGGTCTAAAATCGCTTTTGACCTAAAGGGACGCTTTTTGGACGCCATGGATTTTTCTCAGTTTCCAGGCAGAAAGAACAGTCAAAATGCAGGCAGCGCACAGAACACAGCACTCGGGACAAAATGTATGTGAAATGGTTTGAAACAGCAATGTTTTACTATGTAAAATTTGTTTTGAAAAAAAAATGACATTTTTTAAAAATTTTCAAATTTCCCGCCAGCGGCGGTGCCGTACGTCCCGGCGTCACAGGGTCCGGAACACAGAAGCCGTATGCCGGCATCAGCCGGAGGAGATGGCCGGGGACGCTGCAGGGGACACACCGCGGGAGCGAAGGACAAGGTAAGCTCTGCAGGGACTCCCTATGCAGCGCCGCATGGTAAGCCCGAGTGTAGCTCGGGGTTACCGCTTTTGGTACAGAAACTTTACCCCGAGCTACACTCGGGAATACCGCCAGGGAGGTTAAGAGAGTTTAGTTCTGCTCTAAGAGCACCTATGCAGAGGTCCATTTGTGTGACCAAAGCTGCATTGCTTTCCAGGAAAAATGATCAGATTTCCCAGGTGGTGACGTCATAATCAATACTGATCCCGCAGAATTCTCAGCAGCGCACTTTCTAGTCTTTTCAGCAAAATTCTGCAAAAGATGTGGTGATCCTGGTGATGACCAACACAAGGCTTAGTTTTATGAAGCTTTAGGCTCCATGAACACTGGCTTAAAAAACAAAACGCTGCTTCTAGAAGAGTTTAATGTTTTGTGTGTAGAAGTAATTAATGTTATCCTAGGTGTTCACACACATTAGGTAGTATAGAGGTGTTTTTTGATCTCAGCATTTAGAGGCAGGGAAAAACCCTTCTGTTTTTGCTTTTTCAAGTACATTTTTTTCAGGCAGAAAAAAAACCCCCCTCAAAAGTAGCGTTTTTTTTTTTCTGCCAAGAGCACTGGTATTTTTGTAAGCCAGTGTGCATGGAGCCTTGCATTCCGGTCATATAACGTGCGACTTGGCATGCGATTTGCGTGCCCTGAAACTTGCAAATTGTATGCCAAGTTGCACCCTGTTGTCCGCAATTACAGCCGTCAAATCGGTGTCGTTCCAACTTGGTTGAAGCCAAACCGATTTCTAAAGTAGCACATACACTACTTTTGGTGCGATTTGCATAGATATCTGTGTCGGATGTCTTACAAATCGCACCTGAAATCGGTATGTCACCCAACTTTGAAATTGTGCGACTTAAAGTGAAGTCGCACAATTTCAAAGTCGGGCTTAATATGACCGGGGGGGGGTTAGAGCCTGTTTACACCAGATGCATTGGGATAGGGCTGGGCAGCCTTGCCTAGTACAAGACAGTCGGATCATTTCAGTGGTGTAGTGAAATAAAGTACGGCATGCAGTGTGGTACACCACAATCCACTGAACTGCATCACACTGCAGCCTAAATGAAATGTAGAAAACAAAAATGTGCTGTGTGATGTGCTGTGTCCAGGCATTGCAGCCTTTTCATTACATATTAGCAACTACAGTCTAACTCATCTGCTTGTCTGAAGGGTCCCTGAATACAAAGATTAAAAAAATAAATGCATGATGTCTGCAATATCCTATTTGTTTTTTACAGGAGCCAGCAATGTCATTTCCTCAAGCACTGTACGATCTGTTTTGGAGAGCTGGAGGAAGATTCAATGGGCTGTGGATGTGCTGATTATTGCACTTGTAGTCTATTGAGAACTACAAGTCCATCTGCCGCAATGGCAGACAGGACTTGTAGTTAATACATTCACAGATCTTGGTGAATGAATGATGTGGCTGTCCAGGAGAGAGGAACCTCTACACACTGCCAAGGCAGGAAGTGGTGTGAAGGCAGAGGGGGAGGCATTTGCATCATAGTACATGTTCTATCCTAACTGCGGGTGTAAAGGTGCAGAAGTTGAACTTCGCCTTTAAGGGCTCATTCACACTTGACTTATTTCTAACTCTTTCCAAGGCCCCTATAGCATTTGACAGGCGTTAGACAGGCATTTGGAAAGTGTTTTTAACAGTACCCAAACGCCCTATGCACGTTTTTGAGCCATTTGATAGGCATTTGCCAAACGTTAAAACCGCACAACAAACGCCTATAATGAAGTTAAATGGTATTAACGCTCCGCAAACGCCCCGTAAATGCCTGTCAGGTGTTTGAGGTGCATCCCCATAGACTTGAATGGGAGGCTTCAACTGCTCCTGACTTGACATGAGGCGTCAGTTTTGACGCAGCGCTAACGCTTCAGTGTGAACAGCACATTGAAAATGCTTCCCAAACGCCTCTGATGCCTGCTGACAAAGCTAGTGTGAACGTAGCCTAAGGATCCTTAAACTGATGTGTTAGCTTTGTGAATTGATGCTTTTCAGAATTCTGTTTGTACACTTATAGGATATCCAAATCCAAAAATGTAATATATTGCTCCTTATAGTCCTTAGATGGGGTGGCTGCATTTATTTTCTTTTTTACAGGCTAAGAACATTTTTAGTAAGTACAGAAATTACCTGTTACTCTTGTCAGAAGATCTGTGTCCTTGTCACTGTTGGGAGTGGGAGAGGAAGGGGGAGGAGGCAGAAAAGCAGACCTTTCCCTTTTGGGTGAAGTTCCACTTTAAGGAGAAAAAAAACTATTTATATTCCAGCCTGGGTGACAACCATGGCTTTCTCCATAGATACAGTGGACTGAATGAGCACTTGAAGTGTGCTATTCACAGCCTTACGGGGTAAAAATAAAAGTGAACGTTCTGAACTAAAATGCAGGCACCACATTGAAGGACTGGTAAGCTGCAATATTTTACATTGGGACTTAGATATGATGTCATTATTATTATTATACAGGATTTATATAGCGCCAACAGTTTGCTCAGCGCTTTGCAATATAATGGGAGACAATACAGCAACAATACAGTTCAATACAAGAGGGAAAGGAGGGCCTGATCCTGGGAGCTTACAATCTAGGAGATGGTTGATTTGCAGAGCAGACCCCGACCAACTGTTTTCTTATTAATGTGTGGCATTTTTTTTTTATTGCTTCTCCTCATTATGCACTTTATTTGTGTTATCTATATTGTGCTTTGCAGTGAGAGAAGTAATTTAAAGAGTAATTCCCTTTTTGGTTGCAAAAACAATATTCCCCTCTGCGTGATCTGTATACATTACAGGGATTTTAATGAACTGTCGCAGATTCCTACCTTTTTTTTTTTTTTTTTCTGAAGAAGAAATTGTTGTTTGTCTTCATCCATGTGCATCCGTATGGGAGTGAATTTATAAATATCAAATAATTGTTGCACTTGCAGGGCTCTGAGGAAAGTGTCAGGGTCTGCATCCCTTTAGAAGTGATTTTCCTTTGAGAGTATCTCACCAAAATATTATTTATTTATTTTTTTTTAAAGGGTAAATCCACTTTTAAGAGAAAACAGTACATAAAACAAATTATACAGCATATACAATTGCAACACAAGTCATTCTGTAATTGAATGTTATTAAAAATGACTTTTCCTTTTCAATCTGCAGTTCTGTAATTCTCTATAAAATGCAATGCAATAAGGCATCCTGGAGGTGTTCTGTGCACAGATGCTGTACGGAATGCCCCCCCCAGAAATGTCATTTCCTGCTTGTGTGACTGGTTTACTACTTTCCCAGAAGTTTGCACTAAGGTACAAGTCAAATTTTGAGCATCCCCTGCAGCAAAAATAAATGTAAGAATAAACTCTCTGGAAAACTGGCACATCATGAATGTGATGTCACTGTCCCGTCTCACCGCCTCGCAAAGCATTCTCTGAATGGTACTGAGCAGTCGACCTGTTTTCAGAATGCGGCAGGACAGCCGCTCAGCATGAGACCTGGAAGCTAGTGAAGGGCAAGGTATATCATATACATAGTTACCGTATTTTTCGCTTCATAAGACGCACCTGACAATAAGACGCGCATAGGTTTTAGAGGAGAAAAACAAGAAAAAAATGTTCTGAACCAATGGACTGCAGACATAGTACAGGAGATGACCAGAGACTGCGGACACAGTACAGGAGATGACCAGAGACTGCGGACACAGTACAGGAGATGACTAGAGACTGCGGACACAGTACAGGGGATGACCAGAGACTGCGGACACACAGTACAGGGGATGACCAGAGACTGCGGACACAGTACAGGAGATGGACCAGAGACTGCACACACAGTACAGGAGATGACCAGAGACTGCGGACACAGTACAGGAGATGACCAGAGACTGCAGACACAGTACAGGAGATGACCAGAGACTGCGGACACAGTACAGGAGATGACCAGAGACTGCGGACACAGTACAGGAGATGACCAGAGACTGCACACACAGTACAGAGGATGACCAGAGACTGCACACACAGTACAGAGGATGACCAGAGACTGCGGACACAGTACAGGGATGACCAGAGACACAAGTGCGGACACAGTACAGGGGATGACCAGAGACTGCGGACACAGTACAGGGGATGACCAGAGACTGCGGACACAGTACAGGGATGACCAGAGACTGCGGACACACAGTACAGGGGATGACCAGAGACTGCGGACACACACAGTACAGGGGATGCGGACACAGTACAGACTGTGGACACAGTACAGGGGATGACCAGAGACTGCGGACACAGTACAGGGGATGACCAGAGACTGCGGACACAGTACAGGGGATGACCAGAGACTGCGGACACAGTACAGGGGATGACCAGAGACTGCGGACACAGTACAGGGGATGACCAGAGACTGCGGACACAGTACAGGAGATGACCAGAGACTGCGGACAGTACAGGAGATGACCAGAGACTGCGGACAGTACAGGAGATGACCAGAGACTGCGGACAGTACAGGAGATGACCAGAGACTGCGGACACAGTACAGGAGATGACCAGAGACTGCGGACACAATACAGGAGATGACCAGAGACTGCGGACACAATACAGGAGATGACCAGAGACTGCGGACAGTACAGGAGATGACCAGAGACTGCAGACACAGTACAGGGCATGACCAGACACTGCGGACCTTTAGGGAGGGAGGGGGAGCGGTACCTGAATTTGACAGGTACCTGCTCCCACTTCCGCGGAGTTCTCCTTCCTATACTGTTGGCACCCGACTTTGACAGCTGGGTGCCCATTGTGCATGCATGAGAAGCGCTGCGCTTTGTGAATGGCCCGGTGTCTTTTGGGACCTGTCGTGTCCCAGAAGACACCGGACCATTCAAAAAGCGCAGCACTTCTTGCGCATGCGCAGTGGGCACCCGGCTGTCACAGATGCCGGGGCGGGAAGAAGCCGGCGTGGGAAGACTACTGCGCTGGACCGAGGAACAGGTGAGTTCCTGCCGCAGAGAATGACTGAGCGGCCGGCCTGGTATTCTGACATGGTGGCGGCTGAAATACCGGACTGGCCGCTTTATATTCGCTCCATAAGACGCACTGACATTTCCCTCCCTTTTTTGGGGGGAAAAAAGTGTGTCTTATGGAGCGAAAAATATGGTACATAGCTCCAAGCTGGAATGATGTAACTTTGTACGAAATCTCCATACCTGTAATTCTTCTGTAAAAAAAAAAAAAAAAAAAAATGCAGCATGGCCCTGATTTTGCATGGATACCTGATCTGCCTCACACACCATTACAAGCCTGCTCTCTGCTGCTGAAATATTTCCGTTCCCTCAATAGGCATTACATTTATGGAGGATACAAATTATTATTCATTAGTTGCCTAATTTCACATAATATTCCCTAATAAAACTATAAATATTAAAATGGCCTTTACGGGCCAGTTAACACCACAAAAACGCACTCCGGATGCATTCTGGATCCATTTTTGCTTACAGTTCACACCACATTCACTTCCGGTGCAGTTTTGATGCAGCTTGCTATGTTCTGTGCAGAAAAAAAATGCAGCATGTTCTACATTTTTTTTTTTTCTGTAACGGAAACTGCACTGGTGTGAATTATGGCTATTGCAATACATGGAAAACACTGCATTTTTGCTGAAAAAAAAAAAATCGCACTGGACTATAAGTGGTGTGGACTAGCCGTAATACACCTTTTCCTTTTTTCTGCTACTCAGAACTAGTTTGCGAACTCCTTAACCTAAAAATATGCATAAGGAATCGCGCTCCTATCCGAATATATGCCCTCACGCCAACGAAGCCGTTCAGGGAATGGGAACACTTTGCTGCGTATTGTCACATATTTGCTGTTTTTGTGCTGGGGGATAAACGACACAAAGCATATAATAGGCTTTGAGCTCACACACGCTTAACCATGTATGTTTGTCGGGTCCAGGTCCACTTTGCACATTGTTTTAATTTTTGCTGGCATCCTATTTTCTCATCTAAAAGGAATTTTTTTTTTTTTTTATCTCTTCCAGTAAGGGAATTATACTAGACAATCCCGCATGTCTTAACAGATCGCTGAAAAGTGTATCGACTTATTGCGTTAGCCGCTAAAGGCGTCATTTACCTTCGGGAACTGGAAGTTGGACGCTGGTCAAGTTGTGCGGAATTATGTTGGCTATTAAAGTAGTCAGAAATCTGCTGCTGCCGTTTCTGGCATGACCACAATAGCCTATTCTGGGAGGCGCAGCACACACATTATGACTTAAAACTGATTTTCTTCATAATCCAACATATTGAAGCTTATTTAAAGTGGCAGTACGAGTTCAACAGCATCCTGCCATCCCTGCTTTAACTAGCACTTGTTCTCGGCATTCATTATAATGGAAGCATGGTGTCGCAGGGATTTTCATGGGTCCTTGTACATCGTGTATTTTCATCTGTTGCCTGTGCCAGAGCTAAGTGCTGTGAGCTGCTTTAGAAATTGGCAAATTGAAACCACATTCTGCGACTAATGGCTTTGTGGCTGGTAGGCCTTAGGTGATTACGTGGGTAAGAAATGGGCAATGGATGTAAAGATAAAAAAAAAATTTGCATTAGTTTAGGGGTGTGATTTAATAAAATGGGAGCCAGCTTCAACTTGTTCAATTAAGCCTTGACAATAACACCTGGAAGCTGATTAGTTTCCATGCAGAGCTGCACCAGATGTTGCACCATGCAGTTTCAGTAACTATCCCCCTTTTATGTTGATAGTAGTACAGTATTCTTAAAATATATGTCCAGCCAAAAATTTTTTTTCATAGTTTTGTATGGTGTGGATAGTTTTTCTGCTATCCTAGGCTCTGTTAGGGCTTGTTTATACCTGCTGAAGAGTGATCTGCAGGGGATTGCTTTTCAGGGGGTGGTGCAGATGTGGCTGATTGGGATTCAAGAGGTGATAGTGCTGCCTTCTATATTCTAAGCACTTTTTTTTTTTTTTTTTTTTTTCCCGTTACAGGCGAATGGGGTGTTTTGGATGGGAATACCACACCATAGCAGACAGCCTAATATTTGGCCCATGTGACAAAGCCCTGGCTAGGCATCGTGGCTGACATGTGTACAACCCTGTCTGGCTGCCTTTACAGCTTAAGAGGTGCTAAAATCATGGCTCAACCAGAGATTTACCCTCACTTCCTGTCTTAGGTGTCCGTTTATGAACCAGCAGTAATAGATCGCTGCTCAGTTCTCCGGCATTCTCAGAGAACACAGTTCTCCTGTGAATGCCGTTTATGAAGCATATGTAGATCAGTTTTCCGAACGAAGGGAGAACGGTCTACAAATGCTGGAGAACGGTCTACAAACGCTGGAAAACGGCTGATTTTACTATAATCTCGCGAGATTACAGTAAAAGATCAGTTTACTAAACAGAGGTAAATTATCTCTGCTTAGTTTTCGGTCCCTCTGATTCTCCAGCTCTGGGCTGGAGAATCTGGAGGGAGAACACAGATCTCCAGAGAAGGGCTGAACATATTCTCCTGGGTGTCATAAACTGTGAATGACCAGAGAATAGCTGTGATCCTCTGAATATCCGCTATTCTGTGTGTCATAAACGGACACCTATGTGACAATGTTTTCCTTCTAAAGTCAAGTTCAGTAGAGGGCGTTACTCCTACTCCTGATGAGGAAGATTCTGTGGCTTTTAGGTCTGCACATGAACTACTTCTTAGGCCCCATGTACACGGGACACTTCTGAACGATGTAAACAGACTGCTGGAAAGCGTAGGTTAAAAAAACGTCTGTCTAGCCATGTTTACACACCGAGTTTATGAGCATTTACGGTTTAGAAGCGTTTTTTAAAGATAACCTCAGGAGACCTTCCAAAATGCCCAGAATGCACTGAAAAACAGTGAAAAATTAACTATTTCAGACATGTTGAAAGACAGAGAGTGAGAAGGATTTATTGAGATTAGCTGTTTTTTTTGTTTTTTTTTTGTGGTGTTTGGATGTGTTCCAGCTCATTTCTGTGCAGAAATTATTGCAGCAGTGTTTGACATTTTTTTTTTTTTTTTTTATGAAAAAGCTCAAAGTATGGTGTGCCAGGTCCATTTGAGTACCGGGAAAACGCTTTGCATGCATTTTTCATGATGAAAAAAGGCTCTGGACATCATCTGGAAATAAAAGAGTAAAAAAAAAAAAAAATTTCAAACGCCTATAAATGTGGTTAGCAACGTTTACAAGCGTTTTGCTTTTGAAACGCTGATAAAATTACTGCTGAACGCAAGTTTTCTGCGTTCAAAAAAAGGACTGTAAACTCAACTGCCTGTAAACGACAATGTGTACATGGACACATAGGAAAACATTAGGGTGAGTTCAGGGGCTGCTGAAAAAACGCTGAACAGCTCCTAAATGTGAGTTTATCAGCTGCAGTGTACATGAGCCCTTAGAAGCAGTTAAGTGATCCATTTGTTAGATTGTGGGGTCAATTCACTAAGTTGAATGAGGTAAGGTTACCGCATGCGATATGAAGGTCACTTGACTCATTTTTCAGACATATTGCATGAGATAATAAAAAGTCAATTAATCAAAGTAAAATATCGAATGTGAAGTAAATACCACACATTTGTTAAAAGAGTAAGATAAATACCGCAAAAAAACATGAGATAAATCATTAAAGTCAATTAATTAAAAAACACATATAAGGCGAAGATGTCAGCGGCAGGCAGATCCCTGTAACAATGTGCATGCGCAAGAAACGCATCAGGGAGGAGGAGCCTTGCCATATTGCTGTCACGCCGCAGAGGCCGCATGGAAGGCCAGCGGCCATTTTGTGTTTCCTGTAAGTGAGTGCTGACAGCTGATTTTTGGATTTGTTTCCTTTTCTGCATACCTATTTAATATAATAAAATACTACACTATCAGCACTTTATTGTTCCTGGCTTATTGATAACGAGCCTCTTAAGGTGGAAACATCCCATTTTTGAGTTTTATTATCCGGTGGTGATGGAGTATTGAGGAGCTGTTCCTGGATACTGAGAGGGTCCTGTGAGTGAGGTCTGGAGTTGTGCCTTGTATGCTGTCTGTGTGCCAGATGATTCCTATTCCTTGCCGAATCCAGATGACCTCAGAGAATAATATATATACATGCGCATTAATATTGCGCTTCTGGTGAGTGCAATCACACTACTGATTCTTATCACGGAACTCACGTGCACGGATCTCACAGATTATTTTGGACTATTTGATGTCTTTCCAGATTTTATTTATTGATTAATTTTACGGCATAATTACAGTTTATTATTACATTGAAGTCACGTTGCTTGTATAAATCACCAATCTATGCTTCCCTTAATTGATGGTACACTTTATCATTTACTGTGATCACTTTTAGCGCAATATAGCGCTCACATCAGTCACTTTTAGCGCTGCATTATGTATATATTTTGTTTGAGGATACAGACAGAGGTTCATCCTGAATGCTAGCAGCTGTTAAACAAAGCACTCACTTTTTCTTTCATTAAAAAGCACACACATTCGTTATTTTTCACCAGGTGTTTGCTGTCAGTATTGTAGAAATGTACAAAATAACAATTAGGAGGAACTCTGCACTGGCCAGAAAGTGAAAAGTATACAATATATCAATGTAAAAATGTTCTCCTCTGAGCTCAGAAATGAAAATAAATTGTAACATTTCATCAGAGGGAGATCATTTTTGTGAATGAAAGCACACTACAATGTTTATTTTCATAGTTTCACAGTATTGCTGTGTGTATTCTGGTGCAATGTTAGCCTGCAGAAAAAAAAATTGT